TCTAGTTTCAGAATATCTGGAAAAGGAACAAAAGGATGGCAGCAAGTCTCATTTATTCTGCAGGCCTTCCTGGCAGCGGAAGTGCAGGAGCATAGGGCAATGAAATGAGTCTCATTTATTCTGCAGGTCTTCCTGGCAGCGGAAGTGCAGGAGGCTGGCAGGCCTTCTGGGAGGGATGTCAGTTGCCTGAAATCCTGTTCCAAGCCCATCCCAACAGGATCGCTCCCATTCTCCACATCAGGAAAGGGACTCCCTTCAGGGGATTCACTGAGAAGCCGCTCCAGGTCTAGGTCAGTTAACGAGTCCGTGGCCGTCTTCACCTGAAGCAGGTCGTTATCACTGGCATGGCCGAAGAGCGAGAGCAAAGGGTCAGCCATCGCCTCCGCCTCCCTGGGGGCTGCAGGTTCTCTCGGCAAAGGAGTCGCCACTTTCTGTTCTTCGTCTTTTTTCTTCTGAGCATCCTCCTCCTTCTGAAACTTCAGCATCTCCTTCATACTAAGAGCACTGTAGTATTTCTTCTTCTCCTTACTTGCATTTAATGCCATAAAGCTGTAAACAAAGTACGGAGGAGGAAAGGGAACTGAAAAGAATACAAGATGAAGGGGAAGGGATGAGGATACCTTCATCCCAGCTCACTTCAGCCATAGGCACCAATCCCCTGGAAAGTCACAGCCCCTTAACCAATTGCACCAGGAAGAACATTCTACTGCCTCTTAAGATGCTGCTGCTTGTTCAGCCTGGAGAAGAGAAGGCTGACATGAGCCCTCATTGCTGAACAGTGACCTCATTGCAGTCAGCACCTTCCTCAAGGGGGGCAGCAGAGGGGAAAGTGCTGATCGATCTCGTGACCAGCAATAGGACACAAGGAAATGGAATGAAGCTGCAACAGGAGAAGTTCAGATTGGACAATTAGGAAAAGGTTCTCCACAGAGAGGCTGGTCAGCCACTGGAACAAGGTCCCCAGGGAAGCTGTAGCAGCAAGCCTGTTGGAGTTCAAGGAGCATCTGGACGATGGTCTTAGTCATATGGTTTAGTTTTAGGTTGTCCTGTGATGAGCAGGGAGTTGGACTCAATGATCCTTATGGGTCCCTTCCAAGTTGAGGTACTCTGTGATTCTATGATCCTAAGGTCATACCTGAGAGTTAAGAATAAGACTGAAGTCCTGACACTTCACCTGGTGCCAGATGCCCTAAACGACACAATGCATTTTCATTCAGTTATGTCCCTCTTTTTTTAGTAACTTATCCATCAGGTGTTGTGGTGGTTTAACCCCAGCCAGCAACTAAGCCCCACACAGCTGCTCATTCCCTCCCCACCAGCGTGATGGGGGAGAGAATCAGAAGAGGACAAGCGAGA